ACGTGGTTTATCGTCTGAACTCTATTTGCTTAAAATGAAACCCATGGATATGTCTGTTTATATTTTAAAGAATATTTGATTATGACCTTATAAACAATTATGTTTTGTAAGTACCACCACGGAAGTCCTACGCCTTGGGGGACTTAAATAACCATTGGCCTCTGTTTGACTACTTTGTGGTCCTCTGTTTGTCATTGATCCACTGACCTCTGTTTTGTGCAGACCAAAGTGCTGTGCGGAACTAAGTGCTACACCATTGTGGGAGCCACCTCTAGAATCCGTACGAACCACCTCTTGAATCCGTACCTCTGTTCTGTGCGGACCAAAGTGCTGTGCGGAACTAAGTGCTACACTATTGTGGGAGCCACCTCTAGAATCCATAAAAGTCACCTCTTGAATCCGTACCTCTATTCTGACTGTCACTTCTGTGACCTCTGTTCTGTACCGTGGTTATGGCTATTTACTTACATAATATCTGTATTTCAGTTTCTGCTACTTAAACGATTTCTGCTACTCAAATGATTTGTTTATGTAAATGTTTTAGCCTAACTAACTATCCATGGTAATTTCGTATCCCTTATACTCTTGGTATAATATTTCTCACTCTGCCATGTGCTTATAATTTTTTACCAATTTTCAGGAATCAATGCACTTCAGAAATAGCTTCTGGAAAGTCGGGCTACGGAATAGACACACAGTATTTTTTATGATATTATTTATATGTAAATATCGGCCTTTTTGGTCAATAACTTTTGTAATAAAAATAGAAGCTCCAATGATTATTTTGGTACCATTACTTAAATATTTCTTCCGCTTGCGTTTATTTATTTGTTTATGAATTGGCCGTAGGTAACCTCAATTACTGGCCATCACGATGCTTAACCCTTGGGTACGGGGAGCGGGTCGTGACAAAATGTCATTGTAGTTAGATAGCATTAAAAAAATTGTGATTTATATGATTGAAGTTATCTCTTTTTGTTTATAATTTATTTTTTTATTATGATTGAAGTTAACTCACAAAAAGAAAAATATAATTGTAGTTTGTTCAATGGCTCTAAATAATATTTTTATTTATTATTTTAATGGTTCTTTTTTTCAATTATTATTTTTTATTATGAGAAAAATATGATTGTAATTAGATAGCATTAAAAAAATTGTAATTTGTATGATTGAAGTTATCTCCTTTTGTTTATAATTTGATTTTTTTTAATATGATTGAAGTGAGATAAACATAAATACTTACAAAAAGAAAAATGTGATTGTACTTTGTTCAATACTTCTAAATAATCTTTTTATTTACTATTTTAATGGTTCTTTTTTTCAATTATTTTTTTTATTATGAGAAAAATGTGATTGTAGTTAGATAGCATTATAAAAAATGTGATTTGTATGATTGAAGTTATCTCCTTTTGTTTATAATTTGATTTTTTAATATAATTGAAATTAGATAAATATAAACACTCAAGGGGGTTTTTAAGTAAAAGGAGGTTTTTAACCCCAAGGCCTGTGGGAGTTTCAATATCTCAATCTGAATTTTCTAAATTTTTTCTTTAAAAAAAAAACTCAACATTTATTGATTTGGTCAAAATCTTCTGATCAGCATTTATTAACTTTTTTCAATCCACATACCTGCATTTATTGATTTGGTTAAAATCTCCTGATCAGCATTTAAAATCCCCTCATACAAATAACTATAGATACAATCTGTGTATAGTTACTGCAGTACCCTTTTTAACTTCTCTCATACACTATGGTTAGTGATAAGATTGTTAAATTATTTTTATAAAAAATCTTAAAAACATAATTTATCTATTAAAAAAAATCTAAAACAAATATAAATATTTATAATTATCCCGTGCATAGCACGGGTGATAGGCTAGTACATTATATAAGGAAAATGGGGGTTTTAACCCATAAGCCTTATGGGAGCTCCAATATCTCAACCTTAATTTCTTAATTTTTTGATTTTTTTTTTTTTATAAAAAAACTCAACACTTAATGAATTCTCCTAAGTCTTTTTAACTTCTCCAATAGATTTTTTTTTTTTTTTAAAAAAAAATCAGCACTTACTGAATTCTTTTAAATCTTTTTGACTTCTCCAATAAACACACCCTTTTTAACTTTTCACATACCTATTACAGCTTCCTCACTTCTACCATACCTATTGGACCCTTTCAACTTCTTTATTTCACTTCTACGGGCAGCACTTCTTCACTTCTCCCTTGCAAACACTGAGCAAACAGTGAGCAATAACCCGTTCTGACATATGCAAACAGTAAGCCTTTCATTTCGCCTTTTGGGTTAGTTCAATAGTTTTTTTATTTTTATTTTTATTTTTTATTTTTAAATGTGAACAGTGAGCAATTCTTCACTTCTCCCTTGCAAACACTGGCCAAACAGTGAGCCTTTCCCGCGTATGCAAACAGTGAGCCTTTCTCACTTCTTCACTTTCATTTCTTTCTTTTTGGTTCTATTTTACAATGATTGTATCTCATTTCTTCACTTTTTTCTTTTTTTTTTTTCATTTATTTATTTTTTATTGTGGGAACCTTTTCCTTATATAATGAATAGATGTGATGTAATTGTAATTTGTTCAATGATTTTTTTTTTTAAATATGATTGTATTGTAGTTTGTTCAATTTCTTTTTTTAATTTTAAATGTGATTTAATCTTTTTATTTACTGTTTTAATGATTCTTCTTTACAATTATTTTTTTTATTACGAAAAAGATATGACTATAGTTAGATAGCATAAAAATATTTGCAATTTGTATGATTGAAGTTATCTCCTTTTGTGATTTGTATTTTGTCTAGCAAAAAAATAAATAAATTATAAAGATAAATGTGATTGTAGTTAGTTCAATGGTTCTTTTTTTCAATGTAATTGTAGTTAGTTTAATGGTTCTTCTTTTTTTCATTTATGTTTTTTATTATGAGAAAAATGTGATGTGATTGTAATTTGTTTAATGGTTATTTTTTTTAATGTGATTGTGTTGTAGTTAATTCAATGGTTCTTTTTATTTCATTTGTTTTTTTTTATTATGAGAAAAATGTGATGTGATTGTAATTTGAAAAATAAATTATTATGTTTTTTAATTCGTTGTATTTTTAACTACCGATTGTAGTTAGTTCAATGGTTCACATAAAGTACCAATTATTGATGATCATTAGATTGTGTTTTGAAGAAAAAAAATTTGTAATTGATTTTCTTAGTTTAATGGTTCTTTTTTTTTTCATTTACTTTTTTTTATTATGAGAAAATGTGATGTGATTGTAATTTGTTCAATGATTATTTTTTTTTAATGTGAGTGTATTGTAGTTAGTTTAATGGTTCTTTTTTTTTTTTTTCATTTGTTTGTTTTATTATGAGAAAAATGTGATGTGATCGTAATTTGAAAAATAAATTAGTTTTTGAAAAATAAATTATTATGTTTTTTAATTATCAATTGACTTAACTCACTGTGTTTTTATTTATTTATTATTATTATGAGCAAAAATGTGATTGTATTTTTAACTACCAATTAGATAGCATAAAAATATTTGTGATTTGTATGATTGAAGTTATCTCCTTTTGTGATTTGTATTTTGTCTAGCAAAAAAAAAAAAAAATTATAATTTGACTTTTTAATATGATTGAAATTAGATAAACGTACTCTCATAAAGAGAAAGCTGTGATTATAGTTAGTTCAATGATTTTTTTTTTTAAATGTGATTGTATTGCAGTAAGGTTAATGGTTCCTTTCTTTTTCATTTATTTTTTTTATTATGAGAAAAATGTGATGTGATTGTAGTTTGTTCAATGGTTATTTTTTTTTAATGTGATTGTAGTTTGTTCAATGGTTATTTTTTTTTAATGTGATTGTATTGTAGTTAGTTCAATGGTTCTTTTTTTTTCATTTTTTTTATTATGAGAAAAATGTGATGTGATTGTAATTTGAAAAATAAATTATTTTTTGAAAAATAAATTATCATGTTTTTTAATTAGTTGCATTTTTAACTGCGGATTGTAGTTAGTTCAATGGTTCATGTAAAGTACCCATTATTGATGATCATTAGATTGTATTTTGAAGAAAAAAAATTTGTAATTGATTTTCTTAGTTTAATGGTTCTTTTTTTTTTCATTTACTTTTTTTATTATGAGAAAAATGTGATGTGATTATAGTTTGTTCAACGGTTATTTTTTTTAATGTAATTATATTGTAGTTAGTTCAATGGTTCTTTTTTTTTCATTTGTTTTTTTTTTATTTTGAGAAAAATGTTATGTGATTGTAATTTGAAAAATAAATTATTTTTTGAAAAATAAATTATTATGTTTTTCAATTATCAATTGACTTAACTCACTATGTTTTTTTTAAAAATTTATTATTATGAGTAAAAATGTGATTGTATTTTTAACTACCAATCGACTAAATTTGTGATTGGGTTTTAATTCGTTGTATTTTTAACTACCGATTGTAGTTAATTCAATGGTTCACATAAAGTACCCATAAAGTAGCCATTAGAAAAATGTGATGTGATTGTAGTTTGTTCAATGGTTATTTTTTTTAATGTGATTGTATTGTAGTTAGTTCAATGGTTCTTTTTTTTCATTTGTTTTTTTAATTATGAGAAAAATGTGATGTGATTGTAATTTGAAAAATAAATTATTTTTTGAAAAACAACTGTTCAATGAATTACATTATGGTTTAAATAGTGATCAGTTGGAAGTTTATGACACCATAATGAGTTCATACAATTATAAACAAGGGGGTTTATTTTTCCTTTACGGAAGTGGGGGAACAGGAAAAACATATTTGTGGAAAACATTGATAGTAAAGTTTAGGCCAGGAAAAAAAAATTGTCTTGACAGTTGCATCATCTGCAATTGTGGCTTTGCTGTTACCAGGAGGTAGAATTGCACATTCACACTTTAAAATTCCAATTAATTTGGATGAATTCTCAAGTTGTAGTATTAATCAACAAACTAAATTGGTAAAATTAATTCAAGAGGCATCATTGATCATGTGGGATGAAGCTCCAATGCACTATCGCTATGGATTTGAGACAGTTGATCGTACTTTTAGAGATATTCTAAAGGGTACAGAATTTTGTTCAAGTGATTGTGTATTTGGTGGAAAACTATTCATACTTGGTGGTGACTTTAGACAAATTTTACTTATAGTACCAAAAGGTAGGCGGGAAGCCACAATTGCAGCATCGTTGAAGGAATCGACTATTTGGAATCATTGTCGCGTGTTGTATTTGAGGACCAATACGCGTATTATGGCTCATGATACTTCTATTCAAATGCATCAACAACTAAGATATTTTGCTAACTGGATATTGATGATTGGTGATGGAAAAATACCTGGAATTTCTTTCACTGAAGGCGGGGAGACTAATTGGATTGAAATTCCAGAACAATTCTTGATTAGAAATGGATCACATGCTTTACATGATTTGATCCATGCAATCTATCCAGAATTAAGTACTAGATACAGTGACAGTTCTTACTTGAAAGAGTGTGACATCTTAGCACCAAAAAATGCTGATGTTGATGAATTAAATGTCATAATGCTATCAATGTTTCCTGGAGAATCTCGAAAATACCTAAGTGTAGATACGATATGTCCAGCTGAGGGTGAGAACATTGACGAAGACATGCATCCACCAGAGTTATTGCACTCATTAAATTTTTCAGGAATTCCAAGTCATTGCCTTGAACTCAAAAAGGGAGCGCCTATGATGCTACTGAGAAATCTCAATCAATCTCAAGGTCTATGTAATGACACCCGTCTTATAGTTGAGAAAATGGGAGATAAAGTGATTAAGGCACGAGTGATTGCGGGTTCGAATATTGGGGAAGGAGTCTTCTTTCCACGTATCATTTTATCACCATCTACCACACAATCACCTGTAACGCCTTCAAAATAAACCCATAAATCATACATTCAAGACATCCACAAACTTAAGAGAATAAGACATAATTCTATTTATCAGAGTATTCATTACAAAAGTATCACGTGTTGACATCAAAAGTAAATGCCCTACGGGCTTACAACTTTTCAAGCCAACACTTGGTTAGAAAAAGAGAGTACAAACTCAAAACATAAAATAAGCCCTTGGCTTGATTTACATGTAATACACAAAAAGGAAGCCTTCAGCTTCTACAACCGCCCAAGCTAAGACCTTGGAGGCGGCATATCACCTATACCTGAAAATAATGTCCTATATAGGGTGAGTCAACACCCAGTAGAGATATGCTAAACATAATATGAGTAATAACTAAAACATGAGCATTCGATAAATGTTAACACTGGTTAACCAACTTTCAGTACAATTCAATTCCATGACAAATATGTTCATGTTTCATTTTACTTTCCTTTACTTAACCAATTTTCAAGTCATAAACATGGCTCAGAACCTCGCCAAACAATTAAATGAGATTACAACTCATAACAACAATACTTCCATTTCAGATGAGATAACAACTCATATCAAAACACTTCCATACTTCGCAATAGATACACTTATTTGCTGTATCAATATCATATTAAAACACTTCCATACTTCACAACAGATACACATATTTGCTGTATCAATATCATATTAAAACACTTCCATACTTCACAATAGATACACATTTTTGTGCTGTATCAATGGAGTCCATCCCCTATCTCCTCCCAAATAATATCCGGTTTAGGAGTCCATTCCCTATCTCCTCTCAAACCGTGGAGTACATCCCCTATCTCCTCCTACACAATACAATGTATATAAAAAATTATCATATACATGATCAATCAATACACATATTTGATGTATTATTTCAATCGTCATATTCAATGACATATTCAATTGATTAGTTTTAATTCACCTAATCATCATGCAGTGTCTACAACAATCAAGACTATCCTCCACCGATAGCCCAAAGCAATTATTTCTAAACAAATAATAAATGCATCAACATATAAATTATCAACATTTTCAAAAGTGAGCGATTAATAAATCCAACTCCATCATTCGGTCTCATCTTAAGCCAATTTCATCATTTCCATCCCAATTTCATTATCTCATAATAAATATTATTAATTTCACAAATGACCCAATTAATCCCAACTAAGGTATTTTCTCCTTTTTCTCAATATTGACCCAAAGTTCCAAATATCATCAATAGACCTCAATAATTTCATTTTAAGGCCCAAATATACATATATAGTTCAATTGAACAAAAACCCATCTTTACACATTTTAAGGTTTGAAACCCAAACTCCAAAACTTTTCCAAATGCAACATTAAATCAAAATGACTGCAAGCTTATGTCAAAGACCATAAATATGAGTAGTAATCCCTACCTCAAATTCGGAGCTCAAAGGAGAAGATGAAGAATTTCGAAGTGCTCCAAACTCCAAGATTTTCGGATCAAAGTGAAGCTCACACCAAGCACAACACTTTTTGTAAAGGAACTAAGGAAGAAGATCACGCAGACTAGATCAAACCTTAGAGAGAAGTTGAAGTTTAGAGTGAGGAGCTCTCAAATGGAGGTTTTGAAAAGTTAGAGAGGGAAAGGGTTCAAGAAAAGTGATCCAAAAAGTCACTTTTTGGACTGATATAAAAGTCGCCCCGCTCGAGTGTGGAACTCCCCGCGCGAGCGTCAGACACAGACTCACGCTCGAGCGTGAAAAGCGTCGCTCAAGCGTCGATTGCACACTTCCAGAAGTTTTGCAGACTATGGTCCCCGCTCGAGCGGAGGAACAAAATCAAAAGGGCCCGCTCGTGCGTCAATAGCCCCACTCGAGCGTCCGATGACCTGTAAAGAAAAAATACTGGGAGATGAATAATCACGCTCAAGCTTCAAAACTCCCGCTCGAGCGTCAAAATCCCCGCTCGAGCGTGAAGGCCAAAATTTGGGCATCAACTTTTGGTTTCTAAGCACAACCAACCTGTTCCCAACCTGCCCAGCACAACCCAAGACTCAAATATAAAGAGTAAAGGATAGAAATGAGAATAAGACAACCACACACTCACGGAATCAAGTCCGGAGTACAATAAACAAAGGAAGGGAAAACTAGGATCGCTATATCACCTGTCCCGATTAAAAAAAGACAATTTCCCATAAAATTAGCATTTGCAATGACCATAAACAAAAGTCAAGGTCAGACTTTAAAAACAGTTGGTGTATATCTTCCTAATCTAGCATTCTCCCATGGTCAGTTATATGTTGCCTTATCGCGTGTTACCACACCATCAGGCTTGAAGATATTGATTGTTAATAAGGTTGACCAACCATCAAATTACACAAAAAAATGTTGTATATCGTGATGTCCTTGATGGCATTTGAAGATTGATATAAAAAGTCATTTCAAAATTTCAATGACTATGGTTTTTTTTGTTCACTTTGTTTAATTATACAATACTTACTACTCTAAATTTTAAATCTTATCCAAAATATTACATTCAGTATACAAAAAATTGGATGATCTAATCTTTTTTTTTTTTTATCATTTTCATTTAATAAAAATAATTTAAAAACTTACCCTTACAAAATATGTTTGTATAATATTTTTTGTGTAATAATTCATTACTTATTTTTTTTATTTTATCATAATGTAAACTTAACATTTTTTATTTTTCTATTAAAAATTCTTAATATTTTGATTTTCAAATTTCTTGAGATCTATAGATATGTCGTATAAAAATTTTATATGACAATTTTTTTGCTTATATGCATCTACGTTGTTAATAGGTGATAGAATTATCAAATATCCCTATTTTGCTGATTTACATCCATATGCAAGTAATTGGAGCATTAAAACTCAGTTAGTCAGGTTGTTATCTATGACTAATCGTCCTGGGAGAAATATGACATTCAGAATGATTTTTGTTGATGGACAGGTATTTATAACTCTTATCATGAGATAATTGTTAAATATTTTGTTTTATATTATGTTAAAAATGTGTTCTTATTACCTTTTTTCAAAAGGTGATGTCATGGAAGGAACTGTATGCTCTAAAGAATATGATTACTTCAAAGAACATTTAATTGAAGGAAAAATATATTGTTTCAGAGGAGTTCATATTACATTGGCTGATGAGAAATTCAAGTTGATGCCATATTATTATAAGATGTCTTTTACTAATGATACAACAATTGTGCACTTACTTGATCATGATAATAATATACCACTTTAGTGGTATTTCATTAAGAAATTATTAGACATTGGCCAATTTTTTTTATCAAGATGTTCAATTAATAGGTACGTAACTTTTACCAAATGATACTTATTTAGATTATATACTTACATAGTTTATTACCATTACAAAAATTTAAACTATCAAAACAATAAACATGCCAATGCTAAAATATGCAGATGTGATTGGCTTGGTTGTTAGTGTAACTGAATGTCAAGGTATTGCAAATCGTGATAATTACAAGAGAGAGATTCTACTACTTGATACAAGGTATGATACCATAACATACAAGGTATGATACCATAACATATTTCTGTGTCTTCACCAAATTTGAAATACTTTATGCATTATATTATTTTTTCATAATCTCAACTTTTTTTTTTAATTGTAAAAACAGTTTCACATTAGTAAGACTAACTCTATGGGATGTGTTTGCAACAACTGATGGCATGCAACTATATCGTACTTTAGAGAATGAGTTAAAGATTATCATGGTAAGATTACTTTTCATTCACTTTTATAATATCTACATGCATATACAAATATTGGTATTAATAAATTATCTTTTCTCAACTTCGTGGTCCATGTCTCGCTACATGCAAATACAACAAGTTATATATTAATCATTCATTCCGTTATACAAATCATATTTGAGTGTGGTATGTTATGACTGTATAATATTAACCAATTATATATGACAATATAATTCTCACGATTATATATATATTGACATGTTTATCTAGGCTTGCTATGAATCATATATCACAAAAATTGGTATCTTGGAATCGAAAAAATGGATTATCAATTTCACAGTCATTAATAATATAAGTTATATATTAATCATTCATTCCATTATACAAATCATATTTGAGTGCGGTATGTTATGACTGTATAATATTAACCAATTATATATGACAATATAATTCTCATGATTATATATATATTGACATGTTTATCTAGGCTTGCTATGAATCATATATCACAAAAATTGGTATCTTGGAATCGAAAAAATGGATTATCAATTTCACAGTCATTAATAATATCAAATGCCAAAAGAATTCGAATACATGATTTTGCACCTATGCCAAAGGTAAGAATTGTTATCATCGTAATTAATGAAAGTTAAACGATATGTATATAAATTTGTTTATAGAGAGATTAATTTTTGTTTTTTCAAATATTTTGTAAGTTTCGTATTTTCGAATACTTAGGTTACATCAAACAAATTGATGTTGACAACCTTTGGATTGATTTGTGCAAAAACTGCTATAAAAAAGTTGAATATCATTATGATCACATTGTTTGTCGTCATTGCATACCTGATGATATTGATATTATAACGAGGTAATTTTCTTTAGGTAAATAATTGCTATGTACAATAATAATTCAAACTTAACAAGTGTTTTAATTTTTCATTAGGTACAATATTTCCTTTTATCAAGTGTCCTTTTTTTTTTTGATTAGATACAATGTTAACATTGTGGTCAAAGACAGTACTGGTTCAATAAATCTCACTGTTCAAGATAAACGGGTATAGTTTATCTTGCGAAGTCAACCATCATATTTGAAGAATATGAGATCAAAGGTAAGAAATTATAAAATTTATTCTTACCTTTTCAAACACAAAGTTATAATTCTAAAATTTTGTAGGATAATGGCGTTAGAATGATTAAAGATTATATTGCGTCATGCCAAGACTTGTTGGACAATCTTCACTGTGTTTAAAAGATTTAATTCTATTGTGT